GGAAACTGTGTCCCTAATTTCAATTGATGGCTTTAAAAGCGAGACCTTAGATCCGGCCCGAGCTAAAGCAGTGCATTACACAACTGAACTTCAAACAGCTACAGTCTACACTGCGCCTGTGGAGTTCCCAACTTTCCAAACCGGTAATAGTGAATTCAAGATCAACAAAGGTGATGAAGAATTGGAGCTGGCTATGGTCCAATCCACCGAAATGACTGACCCAATTCCATGGTTGGAATTTAAAAATGGAGAACTTGTTAAATTGTCCGCAGAGCCAGCTGCCACCAACTATGAACTGGAAACTAAATACATTGGTGTAGAAACGCAGATGAATTTGATTGATGAATCGCAATTCGGAAAATTACCAACACTGAATGCAAAGTCGTCATTTGGTTCGGGCGATGACAAGGAGAATAAAGTACTACCGTGCGCTGAAACGAACTGCTATGATGCGCCACAGACAAACAGAAAGAATTATGCAATTGAAGAAAAAGAATCAAACACTTCAGATGGGGAACTCGATTTTGATACTAGATATGCTCTCTTTGTTGAAAAGATCCTTCCTGGTCACGAAATTTACTACACGCCTTCAGCCAACTCGAAGAAGAAGCAAGTTACTTTTCGTCGCGGAGGAACCTTGGATCAGCGCCATATTGTTTCGGGCAGTTCACCGCTTTGGGATGCCTTGGTCAATATAGTAGGTTATAAATCGGCAACACTGGAGGCACCACTTCGCTCTCGACTTCGGCTGCAACCGAAGCCAGCAGTTAACGATGACCACCTCTTCCCGGACTCGGTCACCCCCTCGAAGGTGGAGAAGGCGCTCAGCGAGGACGACACTAGCGCCTCTAATGAGGAGGGCAATCGGTATGACGTGCCCTTCATGGATGATGACGCATTTGTGCCAAAAAAATATCGAAGCGTTGTGGTGGTCGAAGACGATTGCAGTAGCGAATCTGACTACTCGGATGAGAGGAGAAATCTGCTGGGAACAGAGCACTTAGCCAAAATGGATGAAACCTCATCACATATCGGTAAATGTACACTACTTTTATTCAATTTCCATTGAAGAGATGCCAAAGTTATTTTTCAAATTAATTTTCAATTGCAACTATTTAATTTTATAAAAATGATGAACAAAATTAATGTATGTACCGTGGTTATATGCGTATCATCAAAATTGTGGGAACAAATTCCTGTGTATAGTGTCAGCAGCATAAAGGCAGCATGACATAAGATGAAATCGCTTCCAAACATTTTTAAATTACAGCCTTATTATTGTAGCTATTCTTAAGCAATTGTCGAAATAAATAAATCTTTTAGTGAAATCGTTGTACTGAATATTTGCTCATGTACTTCAATTGGAGTACAATCTTTCAGGTAGTAAAAACAAAGTTTAGATGATTCAGCTGCCCATTTATCAGAGGAATGTGGAAAGTTATAAACCTCAACCTTTAGTCAGGGCCAGGTATCATTTCAGATTAGCATTTTCACAATTTTGAACGTATGACGGTATCTGAGGGCACTGAAAAGTAGGAGACCTGCTACATTATTCGTTATTCGTTTTAAATTAATGGTAAAAAAAGTTGAGTCAGAGACAAAAGAGCAGAATCACAGTACGCTATTTTCGGCAAAAGTAAATTTGCAGAGCCAGTGTAGAAGTGCTAACTCCGATCTGACTGGGAGAATAGTCCGATACAGTTTTAGGGTTGTATTATAAAGTAGTAAGTAATTTTCGCCAATATGTCGATGAAATGTGGTCCTTTTAAATCAGTTATAAGATGTGTGAGTGTCGAATCTAGCACCATGAACTACCAAAGGAGTTAGTAATACCGAGAAGTTCCACTAAAAAGATGTAAAGCTAGTTACCAAACCGTGTCCAAATCCGAGCAACTCACCGGTTGGCTAATCGGAAATAAAACTGACTTGAATGCTAGGATGAATCCTTCAGACCGTACCCTTTTTAATCACCAACATTTCTGACCATTCATACAAAGCCCTGCACTGGGTCTGGAAAGGTACTACTTTTAACAAAAAGCCAATTCCACCCGCGTCTTCGTAATATCAGCACGTCTCCTGAGAATGCTCAAAGACCTGATATATTGCACTTTTCTAAAAGAGTCATTTTCACTTAGCAATGAAAGTACTATAGGGTGACACAACGCTTTTGTCCCAGAATCATTTTGCCTAATATTCCTTCTATTTTTTGTGGAAGCAGTGACATCACGATTACTTTTCGCATTGTGCAGAAAAGGACTAAAGGCTGAGCTGATTTTTTTTCAGAAATACTCAAAATATCCTAAGACGGGAGTTATGCATAAATTTTACGTTTTTAAAAATTTTGCAAGTGATGCATTGAAAGTTTCGGGATTTCACAAAGGCACTTATTTGTGAGAATTAAGTTGTTTCAAATAAATAAATGAATAGTTTATTAGTAATTAATTATGCTTAGGAATCCAGGCGAACCGTTAATTTAAAATGATACGCTTTGCTAATGTATGCCCTAGACAAAGTGTTAAATCCAATGGATTAACTATGCAATTCAAGGTTTAATCTTTCTTTTGCAAGGGTCATAACCTCCCATATTACTATTATTATTAGACCCCCATTTTTTTAATGAAAACGTGTCTGGATCAATAACCAATTCTGAAAAGAAAAATAACTCCAGTATCTTGGGAGACACTATACCATACACTAATATCATGAATTGGGACATCAGATGGAGCAGTTTATTCAAGCTCAGTTGCGCCTTATTTAACTTGCTAAAGTTTGGGACTATTATTCAGGCTCTATCCTTGTTTTAAGTTGCATAAGTGCGATAAGTGGACCAACTGACTTCGGGATTATTTATGCATTTACGCTTGCCAACTGGGCCTGTGCCGTTTTCACGATCGGAATTCCGATTTTTCAGCATAATTGATGTCATTTAAGACTAAAATTGTGATCTGAAGGCTCAACTACCTGAGTAAAATCGGACACTTTTATTCATTTTTTACGGTAATACAAGAAGCAAATAAATTGCTATCGTTAAAAGCTTTACAATACTTGCGAAAGAAGTGGCGCTTATTTAAGGTCTTGCAACAATTGATGGAAAAAGGAATATCGATCACGAGAGTGGATCACGATGGACGTTGGGTCTGAGCATCTGCGGATGTCTTCGGCGACGTCGATGAATCGCAGGGGTGGGCAACCCCACCCCCTTTTCCCTACCCGCGCCTTCTTCAGTCTTCATTGTGCTTGTTTACACTTTCCGCCCCAATCCTTCTTCTATACCTGCAACCCATCTGCGCTGCTTCAGAGACTCATCGCTGTTTTCTCTTGGTTAGTATAAGTATGAGCGTAAAGTTGGCTTTTGTACTGCACCTTGAAACGTGTGAATACATACATGCACACACTTTCACGAGGTAGAAAGAATGTGTCCTTTTTTCATCCATCAGTTGCACATCTAGCTTACTTTAGTTTGAACTTCTGGTCCATTGTGAAATCTTTATTTTCGGCAAATCCAAGCACACTATTCTGTTAAAATAGATCCATAGGCTTTTGGTCATTCCTCGTGGATAAGAGAGTGTGATTATGTTTCTGTTTATTATAATTGTCTCTGAAATAGATGAGCACCTTTTAAAGAAAACCAAAAGGTAATCTTGTCATGCTAAAACTACTCAATACTTCTCTTCTTTCCAGTTCTGTTTTCGGTTTCTTATAGATCATGTGCTTGCGATGGGAATTGGTTGGTCTTGCATTTTTATCGTTAGAGGTATAGAGCTAAGCACCAAACTTGAGTATCCAAAGGCAGGAATAATATGCGTGACATCCAACGAGACTTAGGCAAACCTATCAATAAAGCACCCTTAAAGGCGAATTAATCCATTGTATTGAATATCAAACGGATTCGCTTTCTTTAACAGCTGGACTTTAAAAGTTTACCTAGAAATTTGGTCCAGTCGGAGTAGACTCATGAGATCTCGGCTTTTGCAATTGTGCCCAATGTTTCACTACCTCGGTGGCAAGCGTAACAAAACGTGCAAGCAACAATGGCAGAGAATTTACAAAGCTAAAGACTCAAGTTGAATTAAAATGCTTTAAATTTATCCTGGAATTATTTGTTGCCAAGTAATTGTTTGCGTACGTTTAGAGCAGCCACACGAAATGGAGATGAACAGCCTGTTTAGAAGGAAGAAGCTTAAGCATTCTGGACTTGGTGCGAATGATAAGAAAAAGCAAAAATCCCAAATGGCTGGCTATCAATGTGAGTGAAACAGTGGCAAAAAGAGACGCAAACAGGTGCCTTCAACCTTCCAAACTAATAAGTATGCAAAAGGTCATTTTTAGACCCTGCAGAATTTGCCATATTTTTCTTAATGACTTTATGACGAGTAAGCTCTGCTACGATTTTCACTACCATTACCCCTCCCAGAGGGGAAACACTTGCTCAAATGACGTAGGTTCAAAATGGCACAAAATGCTTGTCTCATTTCTTGGATATCTGAAGACAAATCCCTATATAAAATATTTGCGCAAAAATGCAATTAACAATATATCTTGCTCGCTTGTGTAACCAACAAACAGCCCACCTTGCAGTAATACTAAGGGCACTTTCTTCTTTCGTAAAACTCATTGGACATACGTTGTGCCCAGTATTACTGGAATAATTTAGCCCTTTATATTATTCAAATTTCAATGTACCCTCATGCGACTGACGCTTTTACTACCTTTTAGAGCATGAGTACCCAATAAACATTTATTCAAAATAACAAAGTGAGATTTAGTGGTGTTTGTAAAATTACAATTCTATGTGGCTGATTGTTTGAAATAGACGCGAAAGGCGGTTACAATTCCCATCGGCAACAAATGTGGAATCGAATATGAAATTAGCATAAATTTACATCCCACAAAGATCAAGTTAACTTCGCAGGGAAAGAAACCAACGCAAAGCCGAACTCATTAACCGTGCGTGGGTCATTTGCAACTGTCCAAGCGGATAATTAATTGACTTGTTCGTATTTTATCATAATCATTGGTGAGCAAATCGTTTTGAGCTATAGGCTAAGTAGTATTATTGGCCCGATTTGAAGGAAGTAGTTTCAGAGGGTTTTCTACGTGATTTCCATACCACAACCATATGCCCCATATAAGACTTGGGAATTCCGACTCTCAAATCAGGGCGGGTAGTTATGCTAATTAAGTAAGTATCCCATTGTGTTAGGCTTCATGTAAAACATAATGCTAGCCACGACTTCGTTAGTAACGCATTGAAGAATCTGCGAGAGATTTTGAAAAAGGCTATTCTTTATTCAATTTACGTATTGCATTCGACTGTTTATATAGGACTGTCAAATGTGACCGATCACGGTTTTGTTAGGTGTTGTAAACAAATTAACATTTTCATGAGACCTGAATGAACAAACTATCGGTGGGATGATCCGCTTAGGTGTTCATTGAATTGGTCGCATTAGTGACACATGAACGCAACCCACTGCTCCACTTACTCGGCGAAATGTTTGGACATGCACGCTTTTACGATTTCTTTCTGCATCGCAAATAATGCATCTCCAATAATGCGCCGTTTAACTCGACTTGGCATTTGACAATTGGCGTTTCCATTGGTGTGATACTCCTACATAGCATGCATTTCGATTTTCTAACTAAAGCAGACAACAGTAATAACGACAGTAACACGAGGTTGCATGCAAGGTAATTCATTCACATTCCACTCCACTCATTGCTGTAGCCTAGTCTGGGTACTTTTTACTCATTCAATTAATTCGTTAAGAACCGATTTAAGAATCGTGTAGTTTACATACTTGAATGGCCTAGATGGCATACGATGGTCTACCTGGATTAAAAAATTTATTAGAATATATGGGTGATCTTGTGTCAGATGGCTTTTGAGCACTTTTTCTGCAATCAGATTCGCTTTTACTTCGAAGCAAAGGAAGTATTCGCTTGGAGGCCACAAAATACCCCTGTTCGCTTTTACATATTATGTCGACTCGTAGTGGTACATACTCCATTCTTCAGTCGGAATCCTCCCATTCTAATAAAAGCAGGAGTTTTTTGAAAACAAAATAGCCGGAATGTGTACTCTGTTTCAATATACTTAAAGTATTGTAACCATTGTTCAAAGCCTTTTCAAAACAGGGAACTTTATGGCATTTATCACAGTGCATAGAAGCATACCGAACCGACAATTAAATGTCGGTGGTGGCGTGGTCTTCTGCAATTTAGGATGTCTTAGTGAAATGTCACATGCATGCCACAGCAATCATTGCGTTACTGACAATCTCAATTCACGACCAAAACCCCCAGTAACGTAACCATACTTGCTGCTGATGATTATAAGTGTTAAATTGTTGACAGAGAAAGATTTTACTCGTGTTGCGATGATGAGGCAGGGATTTCGAATTTTTCTGTCTAAATAGTATCCTTTTGAATTCCACAGGATTTTCCACTAACTGTTCTCCAAAACGTACTTAATTTCTGTCTCGTGTCAAGAAACTTGATCCGACTTATTTCATCAGATAAGATTATTGCAAACACTACATGTTTTCCTCTGCCAATCACTTGTTGCGGGATATATTTCTATTGTATCAGACATGATTATTGTAAGGAGCACGCTTCCATTTTGCGTTTGATTTGATTAGTACCTGGCCTTTATTACATTACCCAAAGTATTGATGCAATATTTTGTATATTTTTTAGAAACGACTCATTCATTAAGGCAAAAGATGGGCTCGACATTCGTGCGACCATATTGGAAAGTTTGCAACACAATCATCCTTAGTACGCATACATTGTGTTGCAAAAAAAACCTAATGCCTCACGAAAGTAATGTAATTTTTTGAGGCTAGTAGCGATCATTTGAATTGGATCGCATCGTTATCATATGTAATTGTTGTGATGCTAATTAACGCACTAGATGACATTTCCATGATAGGATGTTTGTGTGAATGAATATGCCACACCTTCGCAGAACGAAACAAATAACGACCTCATGATGGCGCATTAAAGGTTATTTTATTTCACCCACAGATCAATAGTGACTTTGTTTGAAATCCTTCCGCTATAATGGGCGAATCGTATGGTCGAAAGATTTAATAGATTTTAGAGCGACATGAAGTAATATTGGTAAACTGACGCATTAAATTTCACGAAGTAGGCTTTGTTGTGTCACGTCAATGTTTGGCCACAATCATCGCACGCAAACCAGAAAAAACGTCATGCAAATACTGTATGGTGAGTAAACAATATCATTGATTAAATAATGGTCTTTGTAATGACCAATTATTCACCTTTTACCTCGTATTCTTACACGCAACGAGCGATTGCAGCTGGCGCCATCCTAATCGTAATTAACTTTTAGAAATATAATTCAGGCAGATTCGGCCGATTCAATCTTGAATACTTATAGGAGTGCCTTTTCAGTGGTGGGGATCTCGTCCTCCCGAGGAAAGGTCTGTGCCAAAAGTCTACATCCGAAAAGATTCTTAAGCCTTGTCCACGGGCACTCATTAATGCCTGTCCTAATTTAAATGCAGTCATCGAACATGTACCGCTTTAGTATATTACACATTTATATCATGATGCAATAACACCGCTAGTGTTCGGACGGATCACCCACCATGACGGCTCGCTCGCTGCTTATGATGACGTGCTCAATATGAAGAATGTATGACCGAGCGAGCAAGTCCAAGAAGTACCCATATTAAACACCTCGACTGAATTCCCGTCTAATGGTCAAATGACTCAATTACTGCAAAACTGCTATCGACTTTGTAATTAATCGTTTATGTCCCAAATGTGGAAAACGACCAAAAGTGATCTAGTGGCATGGGTGACTATATTGCCCGAATAATGCCTACTTTATAAGGTCGAGCCACTTTAGCATCCTCTTATGAATTTGACAAGCCTGACACTCCCGTTCCTAACTTGCTTTTTCTCTAACTGTATTCAGTACAGATGTCATTGACACCTGTCGACACACCAGCACGATTTACTCTTGCACTGATTAATGGAGCCACACAACAAAACATGATGCAACATGACCGGAGTAGGTGTTGAGTGCGACGTGGTCAACAAAAACTGACAGCAAATTGTTTCCATGTGATTCAGCGCACGTGCTCCTTAGAGGAACCGCAGTACCATGCTACCGTAAGTTACCGGTTACGAGCAACCGACTCAACCACCTCCCGAGCATTTGGTGAAACTCTGAAATGCGCTCTCACGCCGATTAGCCTTTAAACTATGGCCCGCCCCTCATCAGCACATCCATCAGACAGAGTACTAGCCAAACTTGTGCGGTCAGAATGAAATCCCACAAGCCAAACCTCAGGCGAACCACCAGGTAAACCGACTAGGAGTAACTCAGTAATAATTAGAATTTGAATCTAGAAGTGTATCTAAGTGGATTCTTCAATTGGTTTGAAAACACGACTCGAGTTACGCTACATTTGCACGCGAATACTAGACACCACCGCCCTCAAGGCGAAGTGTTCATCTCAACCATAATTTGTTTATTTATGTGCATCTCTAGCCGAAGACGAAAAAAAGACCACGCTAAATTTCATTCGACGTTATCACGCAGACCCAATATCACTATGGGGCGGACCCTCACAAACTCTTACGAATCCAGATAATTCATAGGTGTAGAACAAGCATTAGAACCTGAATAATGCCTCATTATGCAAATTTGGTAAAGAAAATTTCGGATTCGAGTTCACGTACTGTAGCAGTTACACCCGTGTCATTCAGATTTCATCGATTTCAAATTCCCTTGATGGAACATCACCAACAAGGTGTGTCGTAAGTTCGGATGACCTATCAAAGAATTTTAGGCACAAATTGCAACTACTATACAATTAGGCAAAATTTTGTAATATTTTATAGCCAAATAATAACGTTTGCCTCGCATAGAGAACCTTCTCACACTTACAATTGCGTTTTAATTTAAACCTTTTAAATATTTGCACCGGTTGAAGAAGTTTGCCACTTGATTTAAATTAGAAGCCAAAAATACAAAAGTTGCAAAATTCAGATGGATTCCTTTGGGGTGATTTACACAAGCGGAAACTGATACCTATAACCTCCTATTTTTAAGGCTAGGCCCGACAGCTCGAACCCCTCCAAAGGCGCCTGCGAAGAAATGAAATCGTCCATCGATGTCTGAAATAAGAAAAGCGTGATTTTTCATATGATATAGAAAAAAGTTTGATCTATTCAGCAACCGCCGCACTCCCCATCGTAAATGGCAAGGGGGATTCAATGCGCACTGAGTTTGGTCAAGAGTATATCCAAATATTCCCGATGGTCAATCTAAGAGCCAAAGAAACTAGGCAAACTCGAAGCTCATGCGAATTAAAGCTTTGTAATACATGGTACAATTGTGTCCATCGGTTTACAAAGCCAAAAGGTCGAAGTTACAACTGCAAGATAATACACAAGGAGTGCTAAGATATATGCTTGAATCCTCGTAAACCTTAAAATGAAAATATTTCAAAGCCCAAAAGAATTGATATATTACATCTTTCAATAAATGTGTCGACTAAAATCCCTGAGCAGGCTTTTGAAGGTGGGTAAAAATAGACACTATAAGTCAAAGTAGTAGTTCTCAAGTCACACAAAAACTTATAATTGTGGCAAAGTGCTTGAATTCATTTTTGTAAAAACGAGGCACAGTCAAAAGTGAAGAAAATTAAGGGGGTTCAAAAAGACTGGGTTTAGCGCTCGTAATGCACAACCTGTGAATGAAGTCAAGTTCTTACCAGACAGGTTTTCTTCCAATTAGGAGAGACGATATTTTCTACGTCGCCGAGACACCAGGAAAGACTGAAGTGAAAGATACGATCCTGATAGTAAGTGCCATTATTGTAATAAATGAAAGTGTTTACCTCGTAATACGGTTCTCCTTGGTATGAAGCAACTATAGGATCGAGATCGCTCACAATACGATTTAGAAAGTCAGACTCCTTTACACCAACAGCCAAAAAGGAACTTCGGTATTACATCCAAATGCAACCTTACCGAGTCCTTTCGTCGTTAACGAGGAAGACAGCCTCACCAAGTGTAATGCAGGGCCTAATGATACATAAGGAGTAGTCGGTGTAAACCTTTGGTGGGTCGCAGCGATTCCACGAACCGCTTCAGTAAAACCTACAATCCAGTGATGGAGGATAGGCCAAGTTTTCGTCACACTCAAATGAAAATCCTCACAGGGATGAAAGTGCTGTTCGCATCGAGAAAGAGTCGTGTCAATGTTATTCAGAAGAACACCGAAGAACAGTTCAAGTGGTGCACTAGCTAAAAGTAACGAAAACGTAATCGCTTGGTATTCCACCGTTCTTGCATTGTGTTGAAGAAGTTCGAATATGATCAACTGAACTCAAATTTCTATACTTAAATTTAACGGTGGGAAAATTTCTTATTAGTATTCAAAAATGTGAGGTGAACAACAAGTAACTTATAACCGAAGTATACGAAAGGAAGTCACATTTCGTAAAATTCCTAAACTAGCCCAAATTGGACTAAAATGTCTTTCAAATTCATTCTAGTTAACTTTAATAAGGCACTTTCATAAAATGACCTACAGTAATAATATCGCTCCACATCTTTCTGTTAAAAAATTAATAACTGCGGGTTTTATGAATGCACTGCCCCAACGAGAAATGTGGGGATCAGGACTAGTTGGTCAATGGCAAGACGGGGCATTTACTCCACTAAGATATCACCCATTCAATACATCACTCAAGTAACCATAGCAAATCAGAAAAGCGGTAGACAAACTGCTGATGAACTACAGTACGCCGAGGTTAGGCATGTAAAATCAAGCAAAAGCAAGAGAGCCTATAAGGAAAAAATAACAGAGAACAAGAACAATAATAACCGAGTCATTTATTTGGGGTAATCGCTCAATTAAAACTATACTTTTGCTTTTTTTCGGTCATATTATCCCACAAAGCAATACTAATCATAAGACGGAGTCAGGCTACATTGTAGAATTTGCTTTGCATACAAGCTCCACAAAACGTCTGGTCTCCTACTACATTAAAACTCTGGATGTTAAAAAACCATATTTTCATGTCTGCAAGTAGCCGTCATTATCGTATTTTGTTTCGTAAAGAAATACCGTAACGAACTTCGTATTCAAAGTTTGCCTACCCGGAAGGAACACGCAAGTGGCCCAATTGCCATGCTTATGAGCAAAGCCGCGTACTCGCCCATCGGAATGGGATTTCCTACCCGATTCAGCGAAGCGCACTCTATCACCTTCGACGTCATAGGTAAATGAAGGCAAAACGGAATGCTCCTTATCCTTGCACCCATCTTCATCTTCACTCGACGAATACCCAACCAAGGCCATGATCTTGTACTATGACCCCTAAAACTGGTTAAAATTAATAATCTATGATTATGGAAAAGGAGTAAAACGTTCAAATTGTCAGGCAAGGCATTTTGCTGTGACAATTTGATAATAAATCATAAGACTACCGCTCATATCTCACGCGAGCATCAAAACCTTCTCTAAAGCCAATGTTGGGAGACAAAGAAAATCCTTAGCAAAGACAACGAGGTCCACGCGTGGAAAACCCTAATAATCTTGTGGCCTTAAAAGCGGCGACATATATATAAGCCATGAAGGTATTAAAGCGCTAAACTAAGGGTTAAACTTTCATTGGCACATTGGATCAAGTACAAGCTCTAACCCAAAACACACCAATTTAATCAGGTCGGCTTCACTGACTGTCTTTTTTGCTTTTCGGCTACAGCGAGGAATAGTTTAAACAAAACAGACACTTACTTGGGCTCTGTTATTTCTTACATATAATGTTTAAATTTGCGCAAAGTTATAGCTGGCACTGATTATTCTCAGATTAGCGCATAAGTTAACCCTTCAAGAGATTATGGCTTATTGATTTTCGAGTTTAGTATAATAGAATCTCCATTACTCTCTGATATGTAACATTATCATCCATTGAACCTAGTTAAAAATTCAAGTATGTTGCTTTCCATCAAATAAGAACAACAACTTTTTACTCCGTTTGCTCTGACCCCCGAATAAATGTATTACATTGGTTCAGATAAAATAAATGAACAAAACATATTCCACCTTTAATGTAAGCAAAAACAACATAGTTTTATAACAGAAATCGTTGTCAAAGTAACACTGAGGCCTTTATGGGGTGTTTAATGAATAGTTTAGTCTTGAAAAAAAGATTCTTTTTTCCACTTTATTTTTGAAAGCAAGCCTTCTTGTTACTCACGAAATGACCACTGAACTACTATTATGGCAACTAAAGGTGTAATACGATAGTGGTTTATCCCTCGGTTCTGGTGAGGCGCCACTTTT